CGTCCCAAATATAATAATGATTTTACAACAATTTTCTATTTACAACGATCCATTGAAAATGAAATCGTTGCTAAATTATCCCAATGCCTCTTTTATATTTATTTTACATCGAATCAGATCGTTGTAAAGAACTCATTTTCTTGTAGTGCACGCAGCCATCAATTAAAAATGACCAACATGTAAACTAAATGATTATGACATCAACATAAAAAAGGAAGAATTTATTATACAAAAATTAAATAATTTATTCTAAAAAATAATGTTTATAAAAAAATAAAATTTATATAAAAACATTTTATTAAAATTAAGAAAACAGATATTTCTAAATGTCAAAAATAATAATTTGAATATTATTTAGTTGTAAATATAAATTAGACCATAAAAATATCATTTTGATCAAAGAGATATCTATTTTGGTCATGTGGTATTAAATGCATCCAAATGCAAATAGACATTTATAAAAAAATAAACCAACGAACAAATTTGCATCAAACGCAGTATCTATTTATAAAACCGAATACAAGAACAAACAACATCTGGATGTATTATTTAAATATAACATATGATGTATCTTCCAGATTCACAAACGAACATGCCCTATGAAAACTGGCTTGGTTCTTCTCTACTTTGATCTAACCGATTGTGGATTCCTGCAAAGATTGTCGAAACTCTATCATACCTCAACTTCTCTATTTTTGTCTCAATAGTCCACCGTGATATGAAACCTGCGAATATTCTACTTGATGAAATGGTATCTACCAATATTGTCCACGTGATAATGGTTACTAGCCTACTACAAGAGAAACTTCTATTCAACACACTTATGATTATAACAAATTTCTCAACATATATAATAATATTTATTTTTCTTCTCTTAAAAAAAGAGTTGGATACTGCCTTAGACATATTGCTCTATAGACTATAGTGAAGGTGGATATAGCTATATGCTTTATATTGATAAATTAGTCCTTCGTTGAAGCAGCAAATGATCAGTTTTCTGTACTGAGATAAAAAAAAAAAAAAAATCTCTCCAGCTAAATGCATATTTATAGTAGGTATGATCGCTGGAACATACATTCTGGCCAGCCGTGTTCAAGCCCAATAGGGCACAGTTTTTTTTTTCTTTTATTCTTTTGGTCGATATATATACTTACACTAATACACTGTAAGCAGAATTGGGGATGATGTTGAACTTACTATCTTACTTGATACGTAATTTACCACTGCATTGGATACTCACTTACCAGATTTTGTATATTTTTTTCCAAAATAGTGATTTGTTGAAACTTGAAAGGTTAAACATAGATGGTAAATTAACTTTGCATCCACTGTAAAAGTTAGTGTAACTGATCTGCTCAAAGTTTAATCCCTAAGCTACTCTGCAAGAGCACAGATGTGCAGTTGTAGTATCTAGGGATCGAACCACAGAGACTAGAAATCACTCAATAAACCTTATGTAGATGGAGTTACGCTAAGCCGAAGTATGTAAAACAAATAGCAATGCGACAGAAATAAATAAAGAAGCAATGAATACGGTTTGTAAATTAGATGTGACAAGGGATAGGTCTAGGGCGTTTTTCAGGAGATCAATGAATGCAAATCAACTTAACAAGTCAGGGTTCAGTTATTAAGCACGGTTCTTGAACTCGAAACACAGAACTATAATTAACCAACTTCCGTTGTGAGAATTGTCTAAGTTGAAATCCTAGAATTCCAAATTCCTTTGTAAATCCTACAGATTTAAACCAGCCTTAATGCACAAGTTCGATGTGTTCACAAAGCATCTAAACCAAATTCCTTTGCGAATAGCTACTTTGCTCAACCTAGGTTCTTTCCAGTTATTTAATTACACTTCCGTGTCAATTAAGCAACCTAAGATCTAAGTTCTAGGTGATCAGTCCAGAATTAGCTTTAAGAACAACCTAAGATGAAGAACTAATAGATATGAACCCTAACTAGCAAGTTAATCAAACATTCAAAGAAAACCCTAATTACACCCTAAACCTAACAGGTGATCTACTCAGACATGGTTATTGAAACAACAAACATGATGAATAGAAAGCAATAGATTAAATCGGAATAGATAAAGGGGTTCAAAATCTTCTCTTTAAACGAACATAGTACATACTTGTCTCCCCAAGCTCAGAAATCGCAAAAGCCGAAAAGCTCAGAGTATCTCTCTCTCAAAAATCTAAGGTCATCGTAAAAATGGAAGAAAAACCCTATATATATCTCTAAGACACGTTTTGGGCTTCCTTGGAAACGTTTAGGCCCAACTCCTTCTTCAAATAGGAAACAAAATCGCATTTTCCTTATTTCTTTGACAAGTGTCGAGCGTCACTCTCCATGGTGTCTAGCGACACTAAAGCACAAAATCCATACTTGACGAATTTGATCCTGATTAAGCTCCAAAGTGCTCCAAAGTCTCCAGTTAAGCTCCAAACGTACCTATAACCTGAAAAGACTCCAAAAGATTCGACAGACACTAAAAAGACTCTATAAATAAGACATATACCATGGTTAAAAACCATAAAAACCATGATATATCAGTAACATTTCTCAGGATGTCACTGTTACTTAGAGGTGTCAAATTGGGCTCTGATCCGCGGGTTTGGCCCAAGTAAAACCGCAGCGGTGTGGGCTTGGGCTCCATAAAATTTGTCCAAATAAAATGCGGGTTTTGCGGTCCAAACCCGCGTGGAAGTTGGGCTTTTGCGGGTCGGGTCAAAGCGGATCCGTGGGTTTGCGGGCCAACCCGCAAAATTTGATGTTTTCTTGTAAACTTCGAAAAGTGAAGTATTTTTGTCATTTTTGATTGGTGGATTTCGAAGTAGTAGTTTCATGGAGTGAATCGAAGCCTAGTGGAGTCATACAATTCAGCTATTGGGCTTTGTGATAGCTTCATTTCAAAGAGATCAAGGAATCATTAAACTAGTATGTGTTTTATATTATATTCGATTCTGTGATTGGATTTTTGAATTTGGAAGAAAATCTGGCCATTGTCTTCCCGGCTAAAAACTAGTATTTTTTTTTTAAATTTTAATTTCAGTTTAATGTCATAAGTTTGTTTTTTGTTTTGGTTTTGCTCATCGACTATATCACGGACGTGGTTTTTCTTTTGTCCGCAGCGATACAAAGGTAATTTAGAATCGCTTAAATCTTGAATTGACAATAAATAGTTTTGCTTGAAAATCACATTTGTTTGTACGCTGGACTAACAAATAAGCTTTCTTCATCTTTTTTTTATATATATGTGAATGTTTTGTTGCTTGTATCTTGATGGTTATATAGCTTAAATTACCAGTTTTTATGTGTATAATTATTTGTAATTCATTTATTTGCTTTTCAAAACTAAGTGTCTATTTTTACCGTTAAATTGATTTTTCAAATCTTATGGTATCATAGAGTTATGAGTTTTGTATAAGAGGTTTATCGAATTCATTTGTTTATTCATCGAATTTGCTTACACAAGAATTTCTTTAGTTTTGTTTCTTATGTATATTGTGATTCAGTTACGAGTAAAATTTTATTCTCCTCTTGTAGATTTTCTGGTAATATAAATCTAAATGTCATAAGAACTTTAAGATGAAGAAAAAAGTATGAATCCGTGGGCCAGCCCGCAAAACTGCAGAATATAGGCGGATTGGCTTTAGACACATCAATTTGGGACCGCAGCTTATGATGGGCCAGCCCACCAAACCCGAAAAAATTTAAATCCGCATCGAGTCGGGTTATTTGGACGCGAGTTAGCCCGTTTGGTATCTCTACTGTTACTTGTAGTAGTAAATGGAACGTTTTGACTTTGTAAGCTCCAATTTCCAATTTCCAATGTAAGGTTTTTTTTTTAAAATACCAAATTTAGTAACACATTTTTTTTACATCTTTTTTTTTACTCGCTCGTAAATAACAACATGTTTGTTAATCAATAGATTTGACATTTCAAAAAAAAAAAGGAAAAACATCAATTATTAAATATCATCAAAACATCAATTATGCTATTTTTTATTGTTCACGAATATCTAGAACTGGTGGAGATATGGTATACAGACCATCAACATCGCTGTATACTCTTGAGAGTATCTTATTTTTTATTTTAATAATAAATTATCTTTAGAGATTTCACACATACAGTAAAATTTCTATAAATTAATTATATTGGGACCATGATATTTTATTAATTTATCGTGATATTAATTTATCTATAAATTAATAATTATTAATTTATAAAGAAACATTATTTTTCGTCCATATTCTTCTTAAATGTTTTTTTGAAATGATGTTATATTTAAGAATTTAAACTCATATGTTTATAAAATGGCATGCACAAACTTAAAATTATGATTAAAATCATAGCAATCACAATAGAATAGTTATTTCTACTTGTTAATTGTGGACTGAATTTATCTATATAAAAGTATAAATGTTCATTAGTACGAAATTTAGAAAAATATATGGCTACTATGTTTAATGTTAGTGCTAAAATTGAAGACAATACCATAATATAATTTGAAAATAGTTACGAGTAAAAAAATCAATTATAACATCTAAATTTTTTCACAAATTTTGAATAGAGTTAAAAAAGAAACAACATTTAAAGTTATTAATGTTAATAATTAAAGAGATGAACTTAGATAATAACAAAAAACATATTAATCTTTAGTATATTATATCTTATTTATATATACATAAATTTTTATAATTATTAATTTATGTTTATGTTGGGACCATAAATTTACATAGGAGTTTCAAAAAAATTATTATCTTATTATCTTATTGAATTTTATGGATTTTTACACTGGCCCGACTCGGGACCAGATAAATTTATTAAATTATAGTGATTATTAATTTATTGAGTATTAATTTATAGAGGTTCTACTGTATATCTATACACTTATACAAGCCCAATCAAATTGCCACCTATACTTGTATACGGTCTTTTATTGTTCCCAAATAAAAGACTTATCCAAAAACTTTTTCATCCTACTGATTAAAAAAATTAATTTTTAATTATAAGAGATTCTTTAAAAACCACGGATAATCTTGCACTTAGAGCACAAAAGATGACCAATATAAAAACCAAAAAAGAAGGAAATAAAATATAAAAACAATACAATACCCAATAAAAATATATAAATGGAATCAATTTATACACAAAATTCAAAAACAAAAAAAAAGAAGATCTCAAACGTAGAGCACCCTCCATGGTGCTATAGAGACACAGAGCAGAGATGTCATCCACAACAACGATGATCCTCCAACATTCAATCTTGGTGCTGTAATTTAACAAAACCAACAACAAACCTCAACTTCTTCAGTATAAGATTTAATCAAAACTTCATTTGACTAAAAAACATCTGTTCTAGACCAAAGCATGTGTTATATATGTAGATATGCTTTAACTAGACTACTAAACCCAAATGATGCTATCCTGATTAAGATTAAAGCAGAGGAGTCATCAAACCTTGATTCTTGCTACTATCAGGCAGAGCAGGTGGAGAAGACGACGATGCGTTTGACAAAGGGATCCCAAGATTCAAGCAATCCATTCCAAGTGCACCTTCCAAACACAAAAACTCACAAATTAAGTCTTTGTTTCAATTGACAATCAAATAAGATCATATACAAAATTATGTTCTTCTTACATTCCTTGAAGCAAGGAAGTGTGGTGATGTTCATAAGATTTCTATAACCTTCACGGCAATCGCAGCTGTATGAAAACGGCATTGTACTGTTGCAAAACCCTCCTCCACAATCCACCCAATGACAAGCTATATAAAGAAACAACTAGAGTCATATATATGTATACACATCGAGGATCGAAGCAAATGAGATTAGAGATTAGAATTACCTTCGAAAATTGAAGCATTGTTGTCTTTAGGAGGCGTTTTGGGCTGTGATGGAGAAGCTGCTTCACCGCAGGTGAGATCAAAGGTACCTAAAAGGATCAATGTTCTTTGTTGTGTTATATGTGATCAAAATCAAACAAACTTGTGATCAAGAAAAGCAAAGAGAGAGATTTTACAGTTTGGGGTGACGCAAGGGAGAAACTTGAGGTGATGATCAAACTGCTTCCAACCATTTTCACACTCACATTCATACATAAAAGTTGTGTTTGAAGATGGTTTGCATTTCCCTTTTCCACATTCCACTTCCTGGCATATATTATCTTTTTTTTTTCCCACAAAAATTAAATCAACCAACTTCACATGAGTCACAAGCATATCAAATTATAAATTTTTTTTTAGTACTTCTTAAAGAAAAACACTTTTACTAAAAACCCAACACATAAAGAAGAACACTTTTATTAAAAACCCAACTCATAAAGGTACTTGTAATTCTGACAAAAAAAAAGTTCTGTCCTTTTTCTTGCATCTCTAGTTCAAATTCCGGCGGGAGTTAAACAACAATAATCTTGAAATTTAACTAACTAAACTCAATGAAAAGAAATTAAAGTTTATTAAGCATTTTTCAGTCTATAAAAACCCAGAACTTTGACTAATTAACAGATTATTACAAAAAAGCTAAACATCGATGATAAACGAGAGTAAAGAAGAAGTAGTAGTAGGAGTCTAGATTTGGGATATAGAATTCGACCTCAGAAATCAGATTTGAGGCAAACCCAGAAAACAAAATTGGATTTTTCTACGGATTAAAAAAAGGTGAGAAGAGGAAGAAGACAAACCGAACACAGGAGAAAGAAGAGGAGAGAGGAAATCGCAAGTGGCTGTCTTCTGGTAGATTAGAAGTAAAGCTGCAAAGATGACGAGTGTGTTCCTAACACAAGCCATGAATCTGTCTTCCAAGTATGTAAAAAAGAAACAAATCTGAAATGAATAATAATAATAATATGAAATACTACAGAAAGAGAAAACGAAAGATTGTCTGATTTTTGTTTGTTTTCGTTGGATTCTGTTGTATAGTTAGTAGGGGATTTGGTAAGTGTGTAAGGTGGAAAGAGGTTTAAACATGGCGTACTCAGTGAACACAGGAGATCTGTACATAGTGATTTGGACCGACTTTGCTTTTGATTTTCTCGACTAGTTAGTTGATCGCTGAAATCCAATAAATGCGTATTTCTTTGTATTTTCCTCTCTTTTTTTTTATTTAATTTTTTGTTAATTGAGGTATCCGAGACCAAAATCGGCCTAATCCCTCCGAAATCCACAGAAATTCTTTTTTTTTTTTTTTCATTTAACGCGTCTAACGCAAAATGCTTGATTTTCCTCTCCTTTTCTCTTCTCTTACGGGTCAATATGTAAAAAAAAAGGAGTATGATCAGTAAATTAGTCTTGAAAATAATAATTCATGTGAAATTTTCTTGTAAAAATGAAATAACATAATTATTTTCATAAATATATTATGTTGGAAACATAAGTTGCTATTTCTCACATAAAATTGGGAAAAAGACATTTTCATAATTATTTTGCGATCGTGTTGACTCTTGAGGCTCACAATCCAAAATCCAAACGACTGCCAAAAAAAAAACCCAATTGGTTATGGTTGTCCCAAGTAAGGATGTTAAGCAAGTGAAACATCACATTTTACTGTTACGCACGACTATTGAATAGATCAAAAGAATTTTCCAAGCAAGAGGAGTTAACGCCTCTCTTGTTGCTTAAAAGTTAAAACTATATACTAAATATCTATATACATCACTAACCATATCAGATGCCTAAATAAAGATAATCTATTAAGAAATAATTAATTTTTTCCTCATAACTCATAACAGTTAAATGAATAAAAAATTATCCTCAAACATATATAAATTACAGTTGTATCGTATTGTTAATTTATCTCGTTAATTAATTGTGTTATTGAATAATAGGAATAAGTTAAAACCAAATTCTAAGCAGGTCAATAAACCATTAATCACGTCACCTAAGATATTAAAAGCATCCTCTACCAGCATCAATGCCATCATATTTGACATCCCCGTGGATTTTTCAAATTTTCCATAAGTTCCCTTGACTAAAAAATTCAAAAGTTGTAAATAGCCTGAACATCATGATATCTGTTTTCATTTGGGTCGGTTCTTATAAAATTTCTGGTCTTTTGATACTAGAAGGCTAGGTATTTTCTTTTAAGGGTCGGATTTAGTTGAGTTTCATCTGAGTTTCAGTACTCGAAATTTATTCCAAACACCTAAAGAAAGTAAAAAAAAAAATTTCAATATAAATGAAATTTGGTTAAATTTTGAAAATATTATTCAACTTTGAGAAATATAACTTAACATTTTTGGATGTATGAGATATTTTGGTTTTTTTGGTCTAAATATAACCTTTATAGTTGTAATTTTGTTTTTCAAGTCTAAATATACATAATTTTTAGATATATAATTATATTTCATATTTTTAAATATACATAATATTCTATTAATTAGTCGTTACCCGTTTTACTATAAATTTTCTATTAAACTCCAATAAACTCTTGTTTATGTCTTTACCCGTCTTTTAATTTCCAATATTCTATTAATTATGCTTTTATTTATTACAATGCCGACAATCATTAATTTCAAAATCAATATCGAACCAAACCTAAAATATGCTATATCATTGTTTTCCACCAAATGTTTTCATGTCGTTAACTTTTCCAAACTTTATGTGTTGAATCTATTATACAAATTAAGTTATGTGTATATTTTATTAGTTGTGTCGTGTGCTTATTTATATATTGTATTACATTTTAAGGTTTTTGTAGTTTTTTAAAAAATAATGAATATCCATATTTTTTGTTTTCATTATTTGCAAAAAATGTAGCTAAGAATATAAAAGAAGAAAAAATAATTTCAAAAAAAAAAACTCTTAAATATTACTCCATCTGTTCCACAATAGTTGATGTTTTAGGATTTGTTCTTGTTCCATAAAAGATGATGTTTTAAGAGTATTTAATGCTATTTTATTTGTTAATTAAAAAAATATTTAATTTACATTGGTTGTAAGATATCAAATTTCTAAAATAGTAATGGAAAGTGGGAATAATGGTTATATATTTATTGAAAGTAGTAAAATAATTTTAAAAAAACAAAAAATAATTAATAAAAGCATGTATTTATTATTTCTTAAGAAGTGTAAAAATTTTAAAACATCAAATATTGTGGAACAGAGGGAGTATAATTAAATTTTATTAGATCACAACAACAAAAACATATAAAAAATAGTAGGGTAGATGGTTGAATTTTAATATATAAAACTATTGTAAAATATAAAAATTGAGTAAGTATTGAATAATTATGTGGAAAAGAGAGAAGATAGTACGGAGTGTTTTTTAAAAAAGTATTGATTATTGAAATCAATGTACATAGTTTAAATAAGAATTAGACTTCTAAAGGAAAATCAATCTTACTTATTTTTTTATTTCTAGAAATTTTGATTTTTTTTTTTATGAAAAAATCAGAAAATGAGATTTCTTCTAATAAACAGTCCAATTCAATCCAAAAGGCCAATAACAAACAATTTTTGTAAATAGTTTCATATTACAGGTTTAAATGGTAAGCCTTAAGTTATAAGAATTTGGAATAAAGAATAGTTTTAGATTTCAAGTTTTAGTTTTTAAATTTTCTTTTTATTTGTATTTAAAGTATTTTGTTGCTTTTTAAGAATATAATCTAATTTATTTTCAGATAATAAAATTATTAGTTTTTGTGATTAGTCTATCTCTCTGATCAAAAATAATGTTGGCTTTAATTATTATAGTTATTTAAATCTCGGATTTCGTGTGAAAAAAATGAATTATGCTCTATTTCCAACCAATAAAAGCCATACCGTATTTACCCATATGTTACACGCCTATCTCCAACTTAAAAAAAAAAAGAGAGGAAAAGATTAGTTTTTTAGTTGCCAAAAAAAAGGAAAATATTAGTTTCCAAAAGAGTGATTTTAGTTCCATAAATGCATGAGAATACAATTACCCTCAAATATTGGCTGTATAATATTATTCAATATAGTTAAGAAAACTAAAATAAAATACATTAACCATATGTTGTTTTTTGAATTAATATAGCAATTTCTTTTTTTTTTATAATTTAGAGGTTTTAAATACGAAAACTCGTGCTTTTCCCTAAACGAAATCCAAATCATATTATTTAATTTTTTTAGAAAGCAAAAATCTTTTAATGTGAATATTTTATAATTAAATATTTAACTTTTAAGCTTTAAACTTTAAGAATTTGGATTAAAAATTTAATTTTTAGATTTCAAGGTTTAGTTATTAGTGTTTGTGATTGAACCTACTCCATGATCACAAAATTACTAAGTTGATGATTTAAAGCTCTTCCTTGATCATATTTTTATAGAGTGGAAGAATAAACCTCATCCATGATCAGAAAATGATAGAGTGGAAGGTTAATCTTCCTCTGTATCTATATTTATGTAGTAGAAGGTTAATCCTCCTCTTTATTTATATTCTACAATGAAAGGTTATATTTCCTGTTCATTTTTATGGTAGGATTGACCTCCTTAAAATCTATGGTAGGCTCTGCCTCCTCAATAATGAAAGTTATATCTGATAAGTTATTTTTATGATTTAATATGTTTAACTATTTAATTTATTTTATCGATTACCATATGGTTAAAGACATTGAATCATGTCTTTAAAAGTCAGAATTTTCAGAAGAGAAAAACACTTTCGAAATAGCTAAAAGCCCCGTAAGAGTTAGAAGCTCAGGAAGAGCGGAAAACCCCGGAAAAGCTAAAAATTCTCGGAAGAGCTAAGAGCCCCAGAAGAGCTAGAAGCTCCGAAAGAGCTTAAAACCATGGACGAGCTAGAGGCTTCGGAAGCTTCATGAGTTAAAATCTTTGGAAGAGCTAGAAGCTCCAGAAAAGAAAAATTATGTGGAAGAGCACACGATGGATACATGCATATATGTGATAATAATATGGAAGGAAATATGGCAAGAGTATATACAATAGTAAACCTGAAGTTACTAATTAAATAAACCGGTTAAGCCATCTTGGTAGTTCCAATGATATAAGATCATTGAGAGTACATGTTTATAAACCAGAAACTTTTCAACTATTGCATGTCATATAGAAAAAGAAAGTCATCGTGAAAAGTATTCATGGATGGATCACCATTGTTTGTTTTAAAGCTCATTGGATATATAGTTGGTCCTAGAGTGGGATTCAATGCAAGATGGATAGACCTTGACAGTGTCATAATCTCGAGGAAGAGAATTCCACATCAAAAGTAAGCTGAACATCCAGAAGATTATGTTCGTATTCAAAATGAGTTTAAAATAAAGCAAATCCAAAGGATTGCAAAACCAATTATGGTGATCACCATGTTGTTGCAAAGAAAATGCAGTTTTGCAATGCAATAAACAGTTGATGGATGAAATTCATGAAATGAATTATTATGGATCCTCATATGAACCTGAAGTTCATATTGAGTGAAAAGGAAAATTTCATATCCCAGCTGAGTTCCACTTAAAATAAATGTCCATGAAGGACAATCTATTTGAGTCTATGTCACGTAAGAAACATGATATACTACTTTGGTTCCAAATTCTCAAAAAGAAAAGAAGTGAAAGAGGATTAATCTCCTGAAAAGATTGACTGACATGGTTAATGATAAAATCAGGTACCTGAATGAAATCGATGATAAGAGATCTCAATTTTTATTTCATTATGAAAAAAAGTGGAACCAAAGATTAACCTCTAGAGAAATTAATCCTTGAAGGATTATATCAGAAATTATGTTTCCGGGAACACTACTCGATTGAAGTAAAGAATGATGATCATCAAAACTCTTGAAGAGTTATCTCGAGTAGTATAATAAAAAGGGATTATTCTAAATGTAATATTTTGAACCGGTAACTGGAGATATGTTTATGGCACATTTTGCCGATTGCCACTTATATGAATGTAAATTCTCTGCGTTAGGGGGAGGATCTAGAAAATCACCAAAAGATATCACAAAAGTGTACACAAACTTTGGCTTATCTCGATCTTCCTACCAATCAACGTGAGGTAGAAGTTCATAAAATTACATATTTGCAAAGTTTGGCAAACTAGTTACTTGATATATTCACAGATACAAGGAGGGTGACAAAGTTATACATCATGTTGCTTATGATCCGTCAAAGATAAATGTCTTGAAAGAACTTATTGATGTGAATAGAGAAAGTGAACCACGGGTTCAACTAAAGCACGAGAGGCCGATGGATTTATAAGATAAAAATCTCCTCCTAAGTAAAAAGGTTACAGAAGAATCATATAGAGAAATTTGTTTGAAGACATTTGTAAAAAGGTTCCAGAATGATCTTTTAGAGAAAATGTCGTAAAAATATTTGTGAAAAGATTCTAAAAGAACCATACATATCATACATGAAAGAGTTCCATAAGAACCATATAAAAAGATTCCTCCAAAAGACGAGTGCGGCTACACTCTTTTTTTTTTATCTTGGTTTTTGTCCAACTAAGTTTTTCCATGACAAGGTTTTTAATGAGGCAGCAAGGAACACTCAAAATATAGACCTCCAAAGAGGAATGCTTCTGGAAGGATAAGTATAATGATATGCGTAGATGCACTCTTTTTTTTTACCATATTTTTTGTCCCATTGAGTTTTCCATGCTGAAAATTTTAACCAAACATTAAAGAATACACAAAAGATATATATCTAAGAGTTTAAATGAAAGTATTATAATTTTAATGGCACTTCCAGAGAAAATGTTATTGTATTTTTTAATGGTTTTTGTCTCAAACAGATTTTTCTATGATAATTTTTTTAACAAAGTAATATGCAATATATCGATGATGATAAATAATTTAAAAAAAAAGTGTTATAAAGTATATAATTATCCAAACTCACAGCCATATCTACCAACTCAGTTAAGTCGGCTAGTAATATATTATGCATAGATTTCTAGTATAAATACAAAACTTATCTTGTTGTAAGAAGAAGTAGTCAATAAGAAAAAAATCATTTTCTCCTCCTCTTATCTCTCCCTCATACTCTCTATATAATATTATATATAAATAATATATGGAAATATATATATACTTAAGTATATGCTTTAATTCATAGTTCGATTAATTATCATGGTTATTTAAATCTCTTCTCCACGTGAAAAAAAAAAATTAAGATCCATTCCTTTATGATCTCTAATCTTTAACATATAAAAGCCATACATGCCTACCCACATGTTACACGTCTAGCTCTCACTTGTAACAGAGAAAAGTAAAACTTAATAAACAACACGTGTGCTTAATCTACAACAAGACTTGCTTTTCTGCACGTATCTCTAACCATAAATAATTCAACAATGTCCATTAAAATAACCTGTGTTCGTATTAATTATGACGATAAATGTAACTAATACGAAAAAATTATACGCGGATGAAAAACAGGATATTAAAAAGTTGTGAATTTGTTTTGCAACACGCTTGTTTAAATATAAATAAAAAGTAAATAGACTGCGCGTGGATATTAATAATGGCTCCACATAAAATTTATTTCACTTATAAATCACAATATTAACATGTGTTCATATAATTTAAGAACTTTTTGGGAGTATACTTTTACTGACTTATAACATTCGTTTTTGGAGACCATTGTTTCTAATCGTTTTTACTGTTTGTTTTTGTACTATGTTTTTTGTTGTTTTGTTAAATCTTTTTTTTTGTAATTACTCAAGTGATTCAGTTGAATTAGGAGATAGCCAGCGGTGAAATTTCAGATTTTTAATTCTGACTATAGATCAGCACATCATCTCTTTTACACCGACTAATTCTAAGATTCAGAAAAATTATATAAAAACAGTCAAATGGATTAAATGTTGCAATTCCACTTCCGTGGTGAATCGATCCCTGACTTAGACTAACATGCTAACTCTCACCAAAGAGATGAGAACCATCTCATTATTATCACTTAGTTTTGTTAAATATTTTTATAAACCAAAATTTTTTTGTAGGAATAAACATTAAGTGCACAAATTTTTTCTTAAATGATGAAAGTGTCATTTTATACGTTTTGTTGATAATGCATTTTGATGTTATGGACATGTTTTATTAACACTCTGGTAGATAATAATTTTGTGAAAATATCTGATACCACCAGGCATATCTCACTTTGATATGTTTATCATGTTCATATTCTTAAGCATATGAAAATAATTTCAGATGAATGTTTGGTTCTGTCAGTTCTAAGATATATTTCATTCGTTTGTTCGATACTTGCAATATTGTCTCAATATAAGATAGCTGAATCTATACTTAAGCGAATTTACTAGCTTGACTGGACATGTTAGCTCATTTATCCCACCGCTATACACATTTTGGGTTGTAACTTTTTTCCACATCAATGATTCAATACTAGGTTTCATTTTTTTTTCTCCACACGTATCTCATCCATTGCATTTATTTCAAGGAATTCTTTGGTTTCGTAGGTCAATAGTTGTAGTTTTTTTTAAGAGAAGTTTATATTCATTCTCTGCTAGTATGAGCGTCATAATCACTCAGAAAAACTTTGTACTGGTGACTATATAGTTAACACATGGCAAGATGTTCTTTAAGCAAACGAGGTATGTATTTTCGAACATTTCTACAGTGACATGCTTACCTCAATGTTTAAATTGTTATTACATATAAAATTATTTTCCTTCACTTTCTTAAAATCCTGAAACTTCAGATTTTTTTCCTTCACTTTTCTAGAGCATGAAGAAGAGTTCTCTTTCTCTTGTTTCAAATTTTCTTTTTAGAGCTACCCAAAATTTTGATGGATCTTTTATGTGTGCATAATCATAAATCACACTCTCCTTTTAAGAAATTATAGAATGTGTAGTTATTTTCTAAAATAATTATAATCTTTGTCTTTTCTTACTTACTTATGCTAGATAATATTATGCATAGGTGTTCCATGCTATGTAGTTTAATGAAATTGTTATGAGAGACGAATTCTAATTTCACAATGTTTGCCACTTAACTTTCTTATAAAATAAATTATAAGAATAAGATTGCTAGAAAGATATTATTAATTTTATATTCAATATAATATTTTACTCACAACATTAGCTCGTATTATCTTTGAATTTTCTTTAAGCATCCTTTTATGACTTTCATAACAATTGCGAGATTTTTCTTCCATTATTTTTGTTTGAGCCTGACTAAACACTAATATACACTACTATAAATACCATGCCCACAATTCAAACTAGAATTAGAAACTGAAATCAACTATCATAGTAAGATCGAAATGGAAATGATAGTAATCTCTCTCTGCTTAACAACCCTCTTAGCCTTTCTGTTCCTAAAATCGTTTCATAAAAAGAACACCACCACCAAACTTAACCCACCACCGTCTCCGTGGAGGCTTCCAGTGATCGGAAACCTCCATCAGCTCAGTCTCCACCCTCACCGCTCCTTCTATTCCCTCAGCCTCCGGTATGGGCCACTCATGCTCTTTCACTTTGGCCGTGTCCCCACCCTTGTAGTCTCCTCTGCTGATGCAGCTCTTGAAGTTTTGAAAACAAACGATATTAAGTTCTCCAACCGTCCAAAAACTAAAATGGTCGATAAACTTCTTAATGGTGGTAGAGATTTGGCATTTGCCCCTTATGGAGAATATTGGAGGCAGGTTAAGGTATTTTTTTCTTCTTGACTTCAATATTGATTGAAAGTTTTTGTATCCTGTTGTCTGATTTTTTATTTATATGTATACGTTATCAATGAGTTTATGTGATTTTTCTAAAGTTTACTATTTCACATTTTGTTCCAAAATCTAGATACCTTAATCTTCACTACATATAGAACATATTTTTTGTGTGTATGTTCGTAGGCATCAAACTCAGAAGCACTTGAAAATTAACGGACTTGTCCATGTTATTTATATACTAAGCATTTTTTTAAAGTGAGAATCTAACATGCTCTCGAGAGGTGGCAACTCTTTTGAGTTCATTAATCTCGGACCTATACTCATTGTTTTACCGGTTATATCCGTTTGAGTTTATAAGACTCTGATGTGAGAATTCATGTGTTTCCAAATTAATAGAAAGTAGCAATGGGTGTGGATTAATATTTGTACCTAATTATCTTCAAATTTACATGCAGAGTTTATGTGCTTTACATCTCCTTAGCAAAAAAACAATTCAGTCCTTTGAGTGTGTAAGAAAACAAGAGATCAATGTGATGATGGACACGCTTGAGAAAGCGAGCTCTTCCTCTTCCTCTTCGACTGTAAATCTAAGCCAACTCCTCACCACTCTTACAAACGATGTAATAACTACAGCTGTCTTGGGAAGAAAATATAGTAGCGAGGAAGGTGGAAACAATTCCAATAACTTAGTGAGGAGGTTCAATGAGCTCTTGGGTGCTTTCCCACTCGGCGAATTCATTCCTGTTTTGGCATGGATAGATAGGATCCGAGGTCTGGATAAGAAAGTGGAGAAAGTGAATGACGAGATCGATGTTTTTCTAGAAAAAGTGGTCCAAGAACATGAAGATCATTCTGATGAAGAAATGTCAGCTTTTGTTGATATATTGCTATCTACTCAAAAAGATAAGACGACACAATTTGAGCTTGACAGAAAAGGCTTAAAAATCCTCCTCGTGGTACAATAAACCTATTATTTTACACATTCTTTCTCAATAAAAAAACAGTAGCTATCACTAGAAAAGTAGAAAGGATGTAAATAAAAAAATTCTTTTGGCTAAAGGGATGTAAATAAACTTGTTTTTTTTTTCTACAGGAATTGTTGTTTGCGGGAGCAGCAACAACGTTCACACTAATGGAATGGACAATGACAGAGCTTTTGAGACATCCAGAGTGTATGAAGAAACTTCGAGATGAGATTCGTTCTGTTTCGACGCATGATTTATATGTAACGGAGAAAGAAGTCAAAGAGATGAACTATTTAAACATGGTCATCAAGGAAGTGCTCAGGTTACATCCCTCTGGTCCACTAATTCCTCGAGAGCTGAGGGAAGATGTCAAAGTAAATGGATACGACATAGCTGCAGGAACAAGGGTAAGTCTTTGCATATTACTCCTTCTGTTTCAAAATAGATGATGCTAAGGTTTATACACAAAGATTAATGGATCATTAATTCTGTTTTTCTAAACGAAAACATCATTTATGATATATATATTTAAAAAACAATTCAGCCAATGATAAAAAAAAAAAAAATCTATATAATACAAATGGTCAAAAACAATAATTTATTTTTGCATTGAAAGTTGAGGACATCATCTAATTTGATTTAATTGTTTTTTCCCTTAAAACATCAATTATTGTAAAATGGAAGGAGTATAAGATAAAAAAATCTAAATGGTGAAGATGGTGTATAGAAGATATGAACTCTGTTTTGGAAACACATGTACAGGTGCTAATCAATATATATGCAATCCAACGAGACACTGCAACTTGGGGAGCAGATGCAGGAGAATTTAAGCCAGAGAGGCATTTGAATTCGCTTTTGGATTTTGAAGGACAAAACTTCAAGTATCTTCCATTTGGATCAGGGAGAAGACGTTGTCCTGGAGACGGATTAGCAATGGCCTTGGTCGAGGTCGCATTGGCTAACCTTGTGAAGAGGTTCGACTTGAGATTCAAGTTAGGACCAATAGGAGATGATAAGCCTGATCTTGCTGAAGCAACTGGTCTCGATGTTTGCCGCAAGTTCCCTCTTATTGTCTCTCCATTTTCTGCTTTGTCCTCCACGTAAAACTCTTTCTTCTAAAAAGTCCAACTGATGTGTTTGGCACAATTAGAGCTTGTTGCATTTGTGGTGGCACTATTGTGAAAAAGTGTTATGGTTGGCTCTGTTTCTTCTTCGTCTGATTGCCGCCTATTGGTGGTCTTGATTTTGTCCTTCTTTTTGAATAAAATGTCGAGAAATAATGTATCATGTCATTAAATTTTTGAATAACTCTATATTTAAGTGTTTGTTTTTTATTTTTGGAAAATATTTATTTTGCGTTGTGAATATCCTCCTTACTGATTTTAGAATTATATATCTGCTAAAAATAATAGTTATAAAGTCTTTTTTTTTTATAAAGGTTTTTCTAATAGTAATAAAGTAAGATATGAATTACTATTAAATAAACATGTGAATATGTGATACAAAAAAGAATGGAATTATCACTCTCACGTTAGGGCTTTTTGTAATTTACATCGAGCATAAATACCGACAAAGCAAAATTCGTTTTTGCATTCGTTTTCTTGTGACTTGTGAGGCAAAAAGTATTACGTAATTAGAAGACTAGAAGTACTCCTTATATACTCATCTTAGTTATTGTTTTCTTCAACAAATACTATATTAAGAAAAAGATCAATCTATTTGTAAAATAAACTGCTTAAGGTGAACAGGTGAAGAGCACAGACCTTGAGTCTTTTTATCCGTACATATTACCGACCTGCGAAAATGCTCTATACATTATATGAATGAACAAGTGTACTCAAATCAAAGTTTATATAAAATTTTGTCACACGATAACTTGTAACTTATCGAAATGGCCTTATAGCTATTACGGGCCTTGGGTTTCATCTCTCAACGCTTCCTCCTCCGCCACGGCCTTCAATTCTAAATAAAAGTTATAAGCTAAACATATACTAAGTAGTAGTATTAAATACTAACCTAACATTTCCAATTATTTAGCCGCCAGAGGACATATGCAAAATATCCAAAGATATGAAAAGATTCGAGAATGGTGTCTACGTCAATCAAATAATGTTGAAACATTGGTATAAATTTCAATTTGTTCTAGAGAAAGTTGGATTGGCAAAAGAACCGAAAATAGAAGTAATGAGAAAGTAGCGACATGATCCGAAAGTTTCGATGTGTTACAGGTTTTATAAATAAACCATAGTAACTCTAAATTTTTTTGACAGCTCATCCACTTTAGTAAACATTGAATACAAAGGAATTAAGTGGTTATGTGGTCCATGCATGTGTCTCGATACTAACACGTAAATGGAATATGGTTTTATTCATGCCTATGTGGCTATGTTCTGTATTTATGATTTATCCGTATATCACTAGTTTTGTTCATTTTTAAATTTATTAGTGGATTATAGATGTATTTCTTAGCCGAGTTGAAGATTTGGATCAGTGACACACTGACATTATAAGTTCGATTAAGGGATGTTTTTTGTTATCTCATCTTTTGCATATTATTTGTTGTTACTAAGGTTTCTTCAACAAACTAAACATGAATCAAACAAACAGAATGTGCATACAATTTTTTAGAATAAGATACACATTATCTATCAAGATTCAAGAATAGTTAACTCATCGAAGCTCATACCAAATTGTTTGACTAAAACTCTTGTACATTCTTTTTTTCTTACATTCTTCTTTTATGCGCGTAATAGGGTAAACTTTTACCATATGCCAGTGAAACGGTTAAATATTGAAGACCTAAGTTTATACTATAGTGAAAAAAAAGTTAAAAAATTAGTACATTCTGAGCAAATAACTAGAAGGATATAAAAAAATTGTGTCCGGATCTCCTGCGGGATTTTGTTTTTGTTTTTTTGTGGTCAAAGAGCGAGAATTTAAATTTCAATAAAAAGTCTCATGAAAATGCACTAACTAACGCAAAATAAAACAATTATATTGATGTCGACCAATTCATATGACCAATGAAATCACTTGATTAGTCAATTGTCATATTCTCTAGCAACTCGACCCAGTTTTTTTTTTTTTTTTTTTTCCTTCTCGACCCAGTTTACTTCGTCGAGAACGTCTCATATCTACGTCAAGTCCAAATCGTCAAGTTCTTGACCAAAATAATTAACATGAGTAGCCAAATATACCAAACAAAAAAACAGAATAAAGTCTTGAAATCTAGAAAGTGTACGATATATCAGACTCTTATTCCAAGGTTTAGACATTAGAATGAAAATAAAACGGCAAACGGCGCCGTATTTGTTGCCGGCCGCCGGCAATAATTTAAGATAAAAGAACTGCAACAAACATGAACGTAAATGGTTTGGATTTGATTGATGAAAACATAATGGAGGAAAGTAGTCAACGTCTTGTAACATGCCATGTGATTGCCAGCTTCATACACAGACATCGACACGTATTATTATCATGCTGCTGTTCATATAGTATTATTATTAAGGAATTTTAGTAGTTAATTATTAATGCACGTTAAGGAGTGATGACAAATCCCTATACATATAATTGCAGCTTTTGTTCCAATTTATGCACTAATTACTAATTAATCGTCAATGACAGTGCGAGAGGCAGCAATCTTCTGTCTGATGATTGGCTTTGTGATTCATTCAACAACTTACATATACTTACTTATATGTTTGGTTGTTGTAATTTGATTTATATAATACTTAGCATTTCAAAACATTCTTATTATATTTCATTTCAGTTTGATCTGATTCAGAGACATGTTTAGTTGTTTACTCGTCTGAATCGGGGTTGATCAAGAGAAGATATTAAAAAAAAAAGTACTAGTACAAGGATATTAAGTTTATAAACGGTTTTTCATTAAAAAAATGTTTATAAACGGCAATAGTCATTTAGTGACTTCAAACATATTCTGCGGATGTTTTTTTTTTTAATTGCAAGGATCAAATGATCATTTCACTATAAAACAAAATGCACATGTAAAGAATACTTTTCAATGTGCTTAAAACAAAAAAATGCAGCTATTGTTTTTTTTTCACTTGTAAACTCCCTATATGACAATCGCAGGTCCATGCCTAATGAACTTAATTTACTTTAACAAAAAAGAAATCAATTCTCATTTTAACCCACTAAAATAGGATATGAGTGTCAATATTTATTTTACTAACATAGCTACTTGATTAGTTCATTCTGTTTTTTTTTTTCCTTTAAGATATCATATATACGAGGTTTGAATCAGATTAAATGAGACATTGTACTGGTAGATCCGTAGAACCAATACCACAAAACTAATTCATTATGTACGGACCATTTCTAATATATTTAACTTGAAATTCAACTAATTTTATTTATTTTGGGATCTGATTTACTTGTATAATAATAAGTACATTTAAGAAACTTTGTCGATTTCAACAACTGTCTAGAAGCACCCATCATTGTCTTCAAAAGCTAAACAATTGAATTTAGACCCATCACATATATGTTTCTGGTGCATTTGCACCATATCTATAATTGATTTATGGATTTTTTTTTTTAAAGATCGAATATTAAATTGTTATAACTAGGGTCTTAGTATCAAATGGCCTCCTACATCTTTAAGGGTAGATCTTTTAAATTTATTTTTGTCAACAGATTTATATTTTTAGAGGGTCCTCCGACCAAGAAAATAAATACTTTGGATTTACTTTGATGAGACCAAGACATAAAGGATAAGTATATAGCTAATATCCTATTATTTTGTTTGACAAAAAAAAATATTTTATTATTTTGGGCCACTTACTGAAGATGGCATAATCTTTCAAATTCTTATATATATGACTACAAATTTTAAATCCTATAAGGTTTCTACTTCTGGAAAGAAGGCAAAAAACAAAACAAAACAAAACATGAAAATGTTATCCTAATTAATATACATCGATCAGTTTTATACGCTTACACTTTACTAATGCATATTTCACATGACATTAGTAATCCAAATCTAGCTTGAACAGTCCACGAGCTGATTACAACAAAAAAATATATATGTTGATATATATTTTCTTGAATAGTCTCATTCGACTGACCACAAACTATAACTACTAACATCACTTTCTCATACATTTTAGTGTGGGGCAATAAAGCCAACCGTGTTTTTATTATTCCAAATGTTGACATATAATATAATCTATTTTATGGTAACATATGTCTCATGCTAAAATCCATGAACGCAGAACGTCCCTTATAATTAAATAAAAACAAATTATATGTTACGATCATGATAAAGTATTTCACACGGATTCTGCATGTTCTTTACCCTTTTTTTCACATGGCTCATCAATCTCAAATCTCACTATATATGACTCATTTACCCTTTCTGAGTCCAAATGTTTAGGTGTCTATTTCATTATGTGGATGAGCAGTAAGGTATCAATATCTCATTATGTTACGTAGTTATCTAGCTAGGTTCATCACACATACTGTCCCACATAAGTGTTGAAGAGAGAGTTTTTTTTTCTCTTTAGATCGAAGCGTTGAAGAGAGAGCCATTTCATATCTTTGATCAACTTACTATCTTGTTTCCAGCACAAATTTGTTTTTATTTTATTTAATGTTTAAACATATATATTATTGAGTGATTAATTAGGAGTAGCTGTGAACATAGTACTCGACATGCTTTTTAGATTTTAAATTCCATTTGACTGTAAATTCAAACCCTAAAACATGGACGTCAAATAAAAAAAAACAACGATCAACGTTACTTAGAATCCATATATTTATGTGAAACATATACTGATATATATATACTCATAGTTCATCATCATATCAATCATGTTGTAAATTAACCATAAGATCTGTACAATAGAATGCATTAACATGCATGGTTGTGCCTTGCCTTTAGGGGCCTTAGGCGAATGGAATAAATAAGAATTTTAAACATTTTTACAAATATGACTGACGTTGTAAAGTATAAATTATTTTGTATAATATTATAGAAGATTATCGTATTTTCTTAATTTCCAAAACGATTTTTTTGAACTCAAGAAAATAACACCAAAAAGACATATTTGACCAATATAATACCAAATGAAATTTTAAAGACTTTCCAACAAAATAAAATTAAAGAGATAGAATCATAAAATTTGTTACTATTAATAAATAATAACTCCAAAGTCCAAAGATGAGTTACGTTAAAGGGTATTTGAGTACTTAGTGATATCCAACGAACGAAGAAGGATAGGAGGAATCTAATCTTGATTTATTGAGATTGTGTAGTTGGCCTTTGAGTGGCTTAATCGTGGCCATGGAGCTTCCGCTCTGCTTCTTCTTCTCCCTAATCAACCTCCCAAATAAATTTACTAAAACTTGCAATAAATAAATAGCACATCGAGCTATGTATTAATCAACCGACTAATTAATCTACATCGAGTTATATGTATTAAGCACATTTATTTTGCTACATTCACACTTTTTTTTCCGTGATTAATTTACACATAGAGACCAAAAAACAAAAGCAAACAAAAATTGTATATAGAGAGACATATTAAATAGAGTTTATACTCCATAAACATATATCCACCAAATTTCAACCAATAAGGGGTTACAAAAAAAAGGAAAATATTAAATGTTATTGAGTGATGGGTAGTTAAGGAACTTATGGAGTTAGGCTGTCTAAAAAAAGATGCAGTTAAAGAGGTCTTTGAGTACAATGTCTTAAACAAGAAAATGTCAGTCCCATTATAACCTCTCAAAACCAAACACACACACACACACATTACAATCTATTCTTCTCTGGCATATAATGGTGGTCTGAGCAAGCTTTTTTCCAGTAAATATAATGGGGAAAACAAGCAAGTGGATTCGGAATTTCTTAACCGGAAAGAAAGAGAGAGCAAAGGAAAAGATTAATCAAAGCGAGTGTGGATTCACTTCGACGATTCCAGGCACTCCTAAGGAGAAACGTCGATGGAGTTTTAGACGTTCTTCTGCCACTGGACCACCAGCTTGTGCGTTTACCCTCAAAGATTCATCTCCACCGCCTCAACCGCCACCGCCACCGCCACCACAACCATTTGTCCTCGCAATCGTGGAACGTGAAGATGAGGAGAGCAAGAGCGGCTCAACCGCAACGGTGGCTGTTGAAGAATTTGCAGCAGTGAAGATTCAAGCTTGCTTTCGTTCTCATTTGGTAAACACTTGAAAGAACTCGGGATTCAATATCTCTGTTTCTGGCTTCAAATTAGTTTAAAGAATCAATATTTAATAATCTTTTTGGGGACAGGCGAGGAAAGCATTAAGAGCGTTAAAAGGTTTAGTGAAATTACAAGCACTTGTGAGAGGTCATTTAGTGAGGAAACAAGCAACAGCTACACTTCGATGTATGCAAGCATTGATCACACTTCAGGCCAAAGCTCGAGAACAGAGGATTCGTATGATTGGAGATTCAACAACAACAAAACCCACAAATCCAAGAACGTCAATTCATAAAACCCGGATCAATAACATTTACCACGTAATGGATCTAACCCAGATCTCAAAATCCAATCTTGACAACACCCAGATCCCAAAGTTTCTAACTTTGACTCCTCTGTTTTTTTCTGCAGGAAAGTGAAGAAAACATCAAGATTGTGGAAATGGACACTCAATCTAAAATGTACTCTCCGGCTGCTTCTGCTATGACCGAGATGAGCCCACGAGCGTATAGTAGCCATTTCGAGGATTGTAACTCTTTCAACACAGCACAAAGCAGTCCTCAGTGGTTCAGATTCCAAGAGTATTGCAATGGAAATTCTTTGGCTTCTTATGAATACCCTCTCTTCCCAAACTACATGGCTAATACTCAGTCTTTCTAAAGCCAAGGCTCGGTCTCAGAGTGCGCCGAAGCAGAGACCTCCTGAGATCTATGAGAAGCAAACTAGCGGGAGGAGAAGATCTTCCATGGAAGCACCGAGGAATGGTGTCCCTAGAGCTGTACGGATGCAGAGATCTTCATCTCAATTAGGAAAGGAAAGTCAACAACAACAACAACAACATCACCATCATCAGTATTATCCGTGGATGGCGATTAAGCTCGATAGATCTAACATTTCACTTATGGAAAGCGAATGCGGATCTACCAGTACGGTTATGACCAACACCAACTATGGAAGACATGTTGATGTAAGTCCCGAAAGGTTACTTGTTTCCCAAGAAAACATGAATTGAGAATAGGAACTGATGTTTATTTTGTTTTTATTTTTTTGGATGTGTTTTTGCAGGTCCATGGGAACAACATGTACTGAAAAGTGTGATTTAGACAAGTAAAGTGATTTAAGAGAATGATGGATAAAGTACTCAAGCCTAGAAACCAAAGATGGATATGGTTTGTAGGAGTTCTTTAAGATGATGAAGATTCAACAAAGAACAAATCCCTAAATGTAAAGCAATACTCTAGTAGAAGAGATATCTCTGCTTAATCTTTGGCCCTTCTTCCATTTTGTCTTTATCATTCGGCGTTAACATTATGATATTTTTGGATAATTTGATAGTGTTTATAAGATCCATGTTACATTGTTAATATGTTGTTCATCTCTTAGGGCGGCGCTGAAACCAAGGCCAGCACCGAAGCAATGTATATCCAACCAAATTATGATCCCGGCTTATTCGATTTCACTAGGCAGCAAACTAGATTGTAATCAGATGGGAAAGATAAAGTGAATAAAAACTAATTAGCTTTGCATAACAATTCTAATAACTAAAAGTCTAAAACCAAATGAGGTTTTGTTTCATTTGGGATTCTTTATTCATAAGTGAAAAATATAAACTAAATTAACCAACTCATAATGATTTCTTGGTTGAACGACAAAAAAAAAATATTTTTGGTCAGGGAGTTCAAATCAGTGGTGGATTACTGTAGACACTTGATTCTTCCACATGTCCGAAATATCAGTCATATTTTAGATCGTGATCTCCTCTGCCAACTATCAAAAAGAAGAAAAAAGGATAAACCAAATGAAACCATTTGTCTATTGTATATCTTTCGGTTTTCGATTTGAATTGTAATAAAACAATTGGAATCAAATTAAAACTAAATCAAATTTAGATTGGTTCGATTTTGATTTAGTATATATTTGATGTTTAGCTGGTAAATATTTATAGCAAGAAGAATTGTTCGTCGTTTATCTTTATACTGAAAAGGTGGTATGTCATTTAATTATCCATGAAATTGTTTATTGTTATTATTTGTGCTGCAGCTATAAGTAGATTGATAGATTCCATTCACCCTGGAAGAAATAGCGATATCTTTCATTTGTAATACGTATAAAATAAAGATGTAAACCAACAACACAGCAAAAAAAAAAATTTCTTTTTTAATTCTAACGAGGAAGTCAAATTATATTTGGATTTGGTTTTCAAATCAAATTTTGAGTACAGTTGATGAAGGTTTTTTTTGCTAACTAATTTGACACTTACAAAATGAAGTTTAGTAGCACGCTTACGGTGGGTATGACCCAGTAAGAGTGATCGGCCCATGTAAATGTCTATATCTTAAAGCCTACATAAATCTTCTTTTATTAAGTAATTAATAGTTTTTTTTGGTAACAAAACAAAAAAATTCAATACTAAACGAAACGAAAATCTGTTTAATTAAAAAGAGAGAGAGAGAGAGAGAGAGAGAGAGAGAGAGAGAGAGAGAGAGAGAGAGAGAGAGAGAGAGAGAGAGAGAGAGAGAGAGAGAGATGGAAGTCATAAGACAAGACGAGATCAGCTACCTGGATTTTAAATTGGGTACTAACTTACTATTGAGTTACTATACTAACCTGTCTTTTGGTAACATAATTGTATCGTGAATATAATGGGGAAATAGTTTTTTTTTTTGTTTTAAAGAATACTTTCATAGTGTTTTTAACTGTATCGTTTTATTTCACATACCTAAATAATGGCATGTTACACACTATTGAGTTACTAACCTGTCTTTTGGTAAAATAATTGTATCCTCAATATAATGGGGAAATAGTTTTTTTTTTTTTGAAAGAATACTTTCATAGTATTTTTATTTCACATACCTAAATAATGACATGTTACACATTTTATATAGACATGTGTTAATTAAAAACTTAGTTGGTTAATTATGGTTTAGGGTTGTTATAAAATTAACCTTACCTAAACGTTGAAGGACAAGAATGCCACCCTTTTAACAACGACATTTCTCCATACCTAAACGTTGACAATTCACCGACTATAGCAGTATGAATATATAATGTAAGGACCCTACACTTTATCTAACATATACAAAATTGAAAGAAACAAAATACATATACATAATTGCTACACATCTGTCGATAATGGTAACTTACTAATTACCAGTACGTTATTATTACACTATAAAGATGCTTATAGTTGCAAATCCTATTTAAAAAAAAAAGATAAAGATGCTTATACAGTTAACTTACCCTTAGCATCGACCCACGGAAATAAAATTTTCAGATCTCTCTCTTTTTTTCCTTTATCATTTTGGCTTTTGCTGAGGGCTTTACATGATAATTTAGGTTGGCATTGTTAGCTTCGTTTAGTGACCAAAGGACAGGTTACAATATTGTTCTCACATATAACTCTTTTTTTTTATTGGTGTTTATAATATGTCTCACATATAACTCTTTTTGTGACATCCTACCTTTTTTTATGTCTTGTCTATTCTTTTTTTTTTTTGTCGAAATTGTCTTGTCTATTCTTTTCTTCACTTCTTCTATTTCCTTTTTTTTTTGAAGATCTTGATGACCCCTCCTTGATTATCCTCTTTTCAGATCGTTAGCGTACACTTAATAATGTTTGTTGGTGGAAATATGAGTTGCGTGCTAAAGAAAAAGGAAACACATAAGCATCTTGCCGCTTTTTTTTTGATTAATATTGCGTTTGTAAGTATAAGTCACACTACCTTGACAAGCAGCGCCTGAACACAACAAAATATAATTCGATATGATATATTCTCGCTGCAACAGTTTGTTTTCATTCATTAAGATGAAACATTAAATCGTTATATAGTTTTTAGATGAAAAAACTTAAAATATTAATTATTCGTTTACATTTTCGCCAATAAATATGATTAATTCAGATAAAATGCTAATACACTTTTCTTTTCTTAAAAAGTGAGAAGTTTAAATATTTTATTTTTGGAAGAGTAGTTGTATATGATATGCTTTTATATAGAACAACAATTGAATACATGCCCACTTATATTATCATTCTTATTTTAAAACATAACCTGTCTAACTTATTTGCAAACTACATAATACATGAGAGACGCAGTGTATAAGTTAAACTAATTACCGACAATTCCGGCTTTTTGTTATTTTAGACTAAAAACTCATATATGTTCAAAAATAGAGTGTGTTACCTCTGAGGGGATTTTTTAAAAGATAATAAACTTTTTTGACACTATTCGGCTATTGTTCATATATGGAAAAAAGGAAATTACTCATGACTTCACTTATAAGCTGCTTCCACACATTAAAACGTGTAGGACCTACACAATATATCTTTATTTTTTATATTTCAATTACATAAAATCCCAATATTTATTTGTCTTTATTTATCTTTTAATACAAAAATAATCAAATAATTATTTTGACATTATAAATTATATTTTTTTTCTTAATACTTTGATATCTATTTTGATAATTTTTAACTTAACTTTTATGTTGTTTATTGATATAATACATACATATTTATATAGTGACATATATATAGACAAAAAATATATGGACATCTATGCAGATCCACATAAATATGACAATTAATATAAATATAAATGCATATTTATATGTGTATCTATATAATTGCGTACATATAGACACAATTATATAGATATATATGTATATTTATATATATATAGTATAGATGAATATAATTATATAGATACACATTTATATTTACATATATAGATATATATGTATATATACATATAATATAGATGAATATAATTATGTAGATACACAACTATATTTATATATGCATCCATATAGTTACGTATATAAAGATACAACTATATATATATAATTGTGTATATATGCATATCATATGTATATAATATATATGGATGTAATTATATAGATATATATACATATTTACATATATACATATAGATATATAGATATATGTGTATCCATATAGTTACATACATATAGATACAACTATATAAATATGTATACATATCTATATACAGTATTATGAATATAATTATATAGATACATATATATATATATATATTTATATATGTATCCATATAGTTATGTATATATAGACAAAACTATATAGATATATATATGCATGTCCATATGTATATAGTATATATAAATATAATTATATATATATATTTACATATATATATATATATTTATATAGTTGTGTATATAGATATATAATTATATAGATATATGCATATCTATGTGCATATAGCATAGATAAATGTAACTATATAGATGTATATATATAAATATTTACATGTGTTTTCATATGAATATATATATAGTTATATAGGTGTAAATAAAGTTAAAGTGGGTCCCATATAATTTAGTGTGTGAAATTAAAAGAGTAAAGCAAATAGATCCATGTATTTTTATATTTTATTTTTTAAATAGAAAATAAAGTAAGTGTAAAGAAAGGGTATATTTGGAAAATATGATGTAACAAAATAAAATAAGTATATCAAAACATCTAAAAAAGATAAAATTTGTCTGATGATAATTATCTCTCAAAAATATATCATTTTCGGAAGCTAGACTATACAAATATCAAATAATACATTATATTCACTAATTGGAACTTACTGTATTTGGTGTGGTCACATTTGTCGTATGAGTCAAATTTGTCGTATGTTGAATATTATGAGCTGTGAGAAGGTATGTTGCAATGCGTCTCTGCAATCTGCAATATCAAATAATTTGGAAATATCAAAAATTATAAAGTCATTAATTATATTTAAACCATAACAGATTGCCGACAAATTATATCCTATTTTTTTTTGGCTAACCCTATCATTCCCATCGGTTTAACTCGACACACTTGGCTTAGATGCCAGCATATTTATAATTTTTCACTTGATGGAAACAAATTTATCTCTAATCACTGAACCAAAAATTAGGTATCTAACTATCTAAGTAAGTATCAGAAAACAATCATATAGATCCGGCTGATTTCGCAAATGGATTCTTAATTTTTAGAGAAATACTAAACTCTTTTTTTTGTTTTGACGACATATACTAAAATTTTAAATTCAGTAAAATAAAATTTATAACATCACACAATATTTTATGTAGCATGTTATTCTAGTTAACTTAGTTAGTGAGTAGACAATTTCGTAAAATTACATGTATTACACACTACATTTACGAAATTTTCCACAAATTTCGTTAATTAAACCGATCATAAAATTTAAACGTTCAGAATTAAAGTTCAGGTAATCATCAACTAATTTCTAACAAAATGACACCGAGATCAGGCAATTAAAAGGTGTTGACACAAAAAAATAAATAAAAAAGAATGCCCCAAAAGGCAAGAATTATAAAATGGAATATATACTGTATGCGCCAATCATATTAAATCATTCTCTTGTCTCTCGCAGTGCAGAAGAGAGAGGAGAGAGAGCGAGAGAATATTGTGTGTGTGTCTCTCCATCGATGAGCC